AATTCATCATCATCATCTCTCCATGTCGGCACAAGAAGCTTCCGCTACTGATTTGCCAGTGAAGAGACCTAGAGAAGAGGAAGATAACGGCGCCGCCATGGAAACCGAGAAATCCGCCGGCGCCGGAACCTTCAACGGCGGATTAGAGACCAAGGAGCCTGCGTGTATGTCCACTGTAATTCCTGGATGGTTCTCTGAGATGAGTCCTATGTGGCCAGGTTCCTTCCTCCTCCTCCTTTGAATCTCCTTTGTTGTTTCCTTTATTTCTTCGGGAAAATAGAGCTGAATTGTTTAAGCCTCTTTCTGGGTTTTTGGAGTTGTGTCGAAATTTTTTACTTCTTCTTCTTCTGTGAGAATCTGATTTCGCCATTGTTTGAATTTACTCTATTGCTCTGTTTTCTATTCTCTTTCCTCTGTTGATCTATCTTAATAGTAACTAGTAAGTACACATTTGGGGACTTTTAAATCCCAATTTTGATTATCGATAAGTGAAAACATGATTGAATCAATTTTGTTGATCTCTGAATGTTTGAAACGGTTTTAGGAGAGGCACACTCTCTGAAGGTAGAGAAGATTCTATTCCAGGGAAAATCAGATTACCAGGATGTGATAGTTTTCCAGGTAACAAAGACAATTTATAGTTGTTCTGTTTACAGTTTACTTGACTCCAATCTTGGTATCATTATTATGACCTTCAATTTTGGTGAATTTTTCTCTTTAGTCTGCGACATATGGAAAGGTTCTGGTTTTGGATGGAGTGATTCAACTCACTGAAAGAGATGAATGTGCGTATCAAGAAATGATCACTCACCTTCCATTGTGCTCTATCTCCAACCCCAAAAAGGTAAATCCTTTTTGAATATCACGCAAACTCGTTTCTGCGTGTGTAAAATCGGTTACCTGTTATGCTGGTCTGTGTTTTTAAGATAGCTTAGATAATCAAAGTCTCTTGCTTTCAATTGTAAAACTCAAACAAAGGTTAATTGCACGTTGTTTAAAGTAGGCTGAATAATTTTACTCCTGAAAAAGTAGAGTGACTTTGTTATTTTGTGTGTCAGTTATGGCCATAGAACTTACTTGAGCTGGGATAAATTGAAATGATGGTCCTTTATATAATTATAGAAGGGTTGTATGAGAAAGGTAAATAATCGCTTTTGGTTTATGGTTGAGCAGCTAAATTTGCATTCTGCCTTTTTCGTTGCTGTTGGACAGTAGAACTTTAACCAAGTGGGTTTCTTATGGAAACCTTTCTTCTTATTTTTCTTCAGGTCCTGGTTATCGGAGGAGGAGATGGAGGAGTTCTGCGGGAAGTGGCACGCCATAGTTCTGTTGGGCAGATTGACATTTGTGAAATCGATAAAATGGTGGTTGACGTGAGTTCTCACATTTTCTTTCATCTGTTGTGCATCCTGCATTACATAAAGATGTACTTGAGTTTAATATGTTCCCACCTTCTGGGTTCTTCTTCAGGTGTCTAAGCAATATTTCCCTAATGTAGCTGTTGGTTACGAGGATCCTCGTGTCAACCTCATCATTGGCGATGGTACACAATGCTCTGCTTTTTTCCC